AAAATCCTGTCCGCGTGGGTAGCTCAACTGGTCATAGAGGTGAAACTTTGAAAGTATGACCAGGGATCGAGTCTCACCAGCGGCAGTGTGGGAGCAACCTCTCAAATTCAGTAAAAACAAAATCCTGCAATTTTAACTTCCCGCCCAATGCCTAAAAAATCTCTCCTCCTAATAAAATATGTTGATTTCTACTTTCCTATTCGTACAATAATTCTGGGTTGTAATCTATCTGTCTATACATCTATATCTATACTATATATAAAAACAAAATCCTGCAATTTTAACTTACTGCCCAATTCCTAAAACATCTCTCTTCCTAATAAAATATGTTGATTTCTACTTTCCTATTTGTACAATAATTCTGGGTTAAAACCAAAAACAACACATATACATTTTGGGTTATATTTCCCAAACCCCCATAATAATAAATAATAATTTTTTTTATCATGCCGCTGGCCGCGGTTAGGAAGTTCGGAATCGGCCTCCTCCGCGGCCGCTTCGCCGGCTAACCGGCGATTAATTTTATTTTAGATTGTAAACTGTCAAAAGTTTGGCAAGGCATAACTTTTGACTCGGTTGTCCATTTTGAACAAATGTTTTTTTGAAATCGCGTATTTTTTCGAGAAAAACTATGAGAACCTTATGTTTTATTAATAAATTTTTAAAATTTTTAATTAAAAAAATGTCCCGTGTATTATTTAATAATCTCTCTTTATAATTTGTCAAATTATTTAATTATGGGAAATTAGGGAATAATTAATGATGGTAATAGAAATCGTAGAAGAATATAGAATTGAAGAATATTTAATTATTGTTATATTATTATTGTGACTCACGAAATACAATACAAGAATATTTAATCATGGTTATATTATTATTGTGCCTCACGGTCATTATATACTAACAGAACTTGAAAAGAAACTAATAATAATAATATAATAATAATAATAATATAAGTGGTAATAATAATATCTAAAAGTAATTAAGTGTTAATAATAATAGTAAGAATATTAACGTAAGAATTATAACATAGAATAAATCATAATAATTAATAACTATAGTCTAGGATTAAATTTGGAATTGTCAGGAGATAAGCGACCTCTGGTGAAATTAACTCTTAAATAATTATATATCGATTTAAATATTCTTAATATATTACAACAATTCCATTACGTGCAGCGCACGGGTGAAAATACTAGTATATATATAATTAATAACAAAATCCTGATACTTTAACTTCCCGCCCAATTCTTAAAAAATCTCTCTTCCCAATAAAATATATTGATTTCTACATTCTCATTCGTATAATAATTCAACGTAAAAATTCTATTCTAAAATAGTGTAATACAATTACCTTTGTACATCTATACTATATATAATAACAAAATCCAGGAATTTTAACTTCCCGCCCAATTCATAAAAAATATCTCTTCCCAATAAAATATATTGATTTCTACTTTCCCATTCGTACAATAATTCTGGGTAAAAATTCTATTCTAAAATTTTAAAATAGTGTAATACAATTCCCTTTGTACATCTATACTATATATAATAACAAAATCCTGGAATTTTAACTTTCCGCCCAATTCCGAACAAACCTCTCATCCCAATAAAATATATTGATTTCTACTTTCCATTTGTACAATAATTCGGGGTAAAAATTTTATTCTAAAATAGTGTAATACAGTTCCCTTTGTACATCTATACTATATATAATAACAAAATCCTGGAATTTTAACTTCCCGCCCAATTCCTAAAAAAATCTCTCTTCCCAATAAAATATATTGATTTCTACTTTCCCATTCGTACAATAATTCTGCGTAAAAAATCTATTCTAAAATTTTAAAATAGTGTAATACAATTCCCTTTTATTAGTGTTACTGTTATTATTATTAGTTAATTATATGTAACATAGTTTGTATTTCTGTGGTCCTAGAATTAGTCTTCTATTTCTAGTCTGTTAGTCCGGAATGTTTAGTGGTGAGATTAGATATACTCACGTGTAATTGTTTTCTGTTTGAATTGAATGAATTATCTTTATAATCTGGTATCAGCCTAATCGATCCAACTGACCGCTTCCCTTTCGCAAACAAACCCCTTTTCCCGTTTCCTTTTGTTTTCCGACGACAATGTCTGACCGATCCTCCGATAGGCCCTCCTCCGCCGGCGGTGCACCACCCTCATCCGGCAACAACCCCCTTAATGGCGCACACCACTTCATCTCAATGAAGTTGACGAGCACAGCTTCTCCCGTTCCTTCGCGGCCAGGATCTCCTCGGGTACGTAGATGGCTCCACCCCGTGCCCGCCGCCGACTGTCGCTGCCACGCCATCCGGAGAGTCGGGCTCCGATGCTTCCTCCGCTGATCCGATTCCCAATCCGGCGTACAAAATATGGGTTCAACAGGATCAATCGATCCTTTCCCTCCTCATCTCGGCAATGTCTGATGAAGTCCTTCATCTAGCTGTAGGCCGGAACACAGCTGCGGAGGTCTGGCGCTCCATCTGTTCGGCTCTTGGTTCGAACACCCAAGCCCGGTGTCTCAGTCTTCTCAATCAGTTTTAGACTATGCGGCAAGGCAACTCTTCCTCGACGGAATTTCTCGGGCGTGCGGAGCTTCTTGTCGAGGCTTTTGCGCAAGCCGGTCAACAGCTGTCACTTGGTGAACAGAACTTATATGTTCTGAGAGGCCTCCGTCCGGAATACCGGAGCTATGCGGCGTCGCTCACGGCAACCACACCGCTGACATTACTGCAGATGGCGGATCATCTGCAGGCGGCGGACTTTTTTCTCACGGACGACTTCGGCTCTGCAGATGGTGGTCCTCACTCGGCGATGTACGCAGGCCGGGGACGTGCAGCAGGTTCGTCGCATGCGGATGGTGGTCGCGGCAGCAATGCTTCCGGCAGAGGCGGTCGAGGTGGCCGGGGTAATAACTCCGGCAGAAATGGTCGCGGCGGTAGAGGAGGACCCCAGTGCCAAATATGTCGCTCCCACAGACACACGGCCCTCTACTGCTACAAGAGGTATTTCGCACCACCACCGGCGCAGGCCAATGTTGCTGTTTCGGGTAATCCGGCCGGCACCATCACCGCTCCGGCAGATTCGTGGTATCCGGATACGAAGCCACCGCTCACGCTACACCGGACGCTGGCATGCTGAGTAATACGGAGGAATATGTTGGCCCGGACACGCTCCGGGTTGGAAACGGTACAGGTTTGACTATCTCGCGGATTGGTCATGCGTCTATTCCATCCGTGTCAAAACACTTACTCATGTCAAATGTGTTGCACGTCCCTAATTTAACTGTCCCATTGCTTTCTGTCCAAAAATTTGCTAATGATAATCATGTATATTTTGAATTTCATGGTCATTGTTTTTTTGTGAAGGATTCCAAAACCAAGGTCACACTTCTTAAAGGTCCAACCGCGGGCGGTCTATACAAGTTGCCTGTGTCTCGTTCCCATTTTGCGTTTATGAGTTCTCATGCTACGCCGGCTGTGTGGCATCGCAGGCTTGGTCACCCGCATAGTGTGGTCCAAAACAAAATTCTTCAAAGTTGCTCCGTTCAAGCAAATAATTCCAAAGAGTTGGGGTCGTGCACGGCTTTCCATCTCGGCAAGTCTTCCCGTTTCAAATTAGATAGTGTTGAGAATAATAGTCAAAATGTATTAGATCTATTATTTACCGATATCTGGGGCCCCGCTCCTGTAGTGTCAACTAGTGGCTATCGTTATTTTCTGCTATTTGTTGATGACTTCACACGATTTACCTGGTTTTATCCATTACGGGTAAAATCAGATATCTATAAAATTTTTGACTCGTTTCATTTGTTGGTAGAGCGGCAGTTTTCGCGCTCTATCAAGTCAATCCAATCAGATTTAGGGGGTGAATACAGAAAATTACACACAACCTTCCAATCCTTGGGAATTGAACACCGGCAGTCTTGTGCGTATACGCATGAACAAAACGGAAGAGTTGAGCGCCATAACAGACACATTGTCGAAATGGGTTTAGCTCTTCTTGCTCAAAGCTCCGTCCCACAAGAATATTGGGACTATGCTTTTGAAACTGCCACCTGTTTAATTAACTACCTTCCCACCTCGGTCTTAAAGTTTGAAAGTCCATACTATCGCCTCTACAAAAAATCACCACCGTACCAATTCCTTCGTGTCTTCGGGTGTCAATGTTACCCCCATCTACGGCCTTATAATCGGCACAAGATGGAGTATCGTTCCACCCCATGTGTCTTCCTAGGTTACCCACCGTCCTATAGGGGATACAGATGCATGGATCCAATCAGTGGGAAAACCTATATCTGTTGCCATGTGCGGTTTGACGATAATGTGTTTCCCTTTGCAACAGGTTCTGTGCAGGCCCAGGAATCTACACCAGCATCTCTACCTTGGGCATCAGCTCCCGTATCACCGGTGCAATCTTGCCAGCTTGCGCCAACTCCGGACCCTGAACCAATCCCGTTGGCCCAAGAAGCACCTTTGTTGGCCATTGAGCCAAGTGCACCTAGACGGGCCCGGAAACGAACCACTGTTCAACCTCTGGCTATGCGCCTCCGGCGTATGACTCGGGGCACTAATGAAGAGTTTCAGGCTTTAACAGCAACAACTGATCCAACGTGCTACTCCCAAGCTGTAGGCCATCCACAGTGGCGTGACGCAATGGATCAAGAGTTCAACGCTCTTCTTCACAACAACACGTGGCGATTAGTCCCCCCAGACCCAACCATGAACATTATTGGGTGCAAATGGGTCTTCCGTACAAAACGGACTGCCGATGGCTCGATTGATCGCTATAAAGCTCGTTTGGTAGCCAAAGGCTTCAATCAAGTAGCAGGGGAGGACTTCTTTGACACATTCAGTCTGGTTGTCAAACCCACGACTGTCCGCATCCTGTTTACTTTAGCTGTCTCGAACAAGTAGACTCTTCGCCAGCTGGATGTCCATAACGCCTTCCTTAATGGCCATTTAGCCGAGACAGTATACATGAAACAACCACCAGGATATGAAGATCCGACACACCCTGATCATGTCTGTCTTTTGCAGCGGTCTCTATATGGGCTTAAACAAGCTCCAAGGGCCTGGTTCAAAAGACTTCACGATTTTTTACTGACTGCAGGTTTTTCTTCGTCCAAGACTGATGTCTCATTATTTTACCACTCGGCGGGTGTCTCTAAAGTATTTCTACTCGTCTATGTGGATGACATCATCATGATGGGGAGTGACGCCGCCCTAGTTGAGTCCTTACTACGTCGCCTTGCATCAGCGTTCAAGATTAGATATCTCAGCACTCCGGGGTTCTTCTTGGGCATCGAGACAGTACCGTCTAATGGCGGGATGATTTTGTCACAGCATAGGTACATGGTAGACTTACTTCAACGGTCTGGGATGACGGACTGCAAATCCCTTACTACCCCAGCGTCTGTCACTCAAGCTGTCACTCCGTCTGATCAGCCTTTTGAGAATCCTACGCAATATCGGCGCATTGTTGGGGCACTGCAGTACCTGACTATCACTCGGCCAGACCTCGCGTATGCTGTCAACCGCCTATGTCAGTTCATGCACTCCCCTACTGACGACCACTGGGTAATGGTGAAACGTGTGTTACGGTATATCAAGGGCACTCTTAACTACGGTCTTCGACTCTCTCCTTCCGCTTCAACTAACATCCACGCCTACTGCGACTCTGACTGGGCTGGGTGTCCGGTCGACAGGAAAAGCACCAGTGGCTATGCCGTCTTTCTCGGGAGTAATCTTATTTCCTGGCTCTCTCGAAAGCAACGCACTGTTGCTCGCTCCTCCACTGAGGCGGAATATAAAGCCGTAGCTGATGTTGCAGCTGAAGTCACCTGGATGGTCTCTCTATTGCGGGAACTTGGGTTGCACACTGGGCGTCCCTCCAACTTATGGTGTGACAACCTCGGCGCTACATACTTATGCGCTAACCCTGTGTTTCACGCACGGACGAAGCATGTTGAGATAGATTACCACTTTGTTCATGACAAGGTAGCCTCCGGCGACTTCATGGTCAACTTCGTCTCCACCAAGGATCAGCTAGCCGATGTACTCACTAAACCACTACCTGGACCCCGGTTTACAGCTCTACGAGACAAGCTCAATATTGTAGATCATCAATCTTGTGCTTGAGGGGGTGCATTAGTGTTACTGATATTATTATTAGTAAATTATATGTAACATAGTTTGTATTTCTGTGGTCCTAGAATTAGTCTTCTATTTCTAGCCTATTAGTCAGGAGTGTTTAGTGGTGAGATTAGATATACTCACGTGTGATTGTTTTCTGTTTGAATTGAATGAATTATCTTTCTAATCCCTTTGTACATCTATACTATATATAATAACAAAATCCTGAAATTATAACATCCCGTCCAGTTCCTAACAAATCTCTCTTCCCAATAAAATATATTGATTTCTACTTTCCATTCGTGCAATAATTCTTGGCAAAAATTCTATTCCAAAATAGTGTAATACAATTCCCATTGTACATCTATACTATATATAATAACAAAATCATGGAATTTTAACTTCCCGCCCAATTCCTAAAAAAATTCTCTTACCAATAAAATATATTGATTTCTACTTTCCCATTCGTACAATAATTCAGGGTAAAAATTCTATTCTAAAATTTTTAAATAGTGTAATACAATTGCCTTTGTACATCTATACTATATATAATAACAAAATCCTGAAATTTTAACTTCTCGCCAAATTCCTAAAAAATCTCTCTTCCCAATAAAATATATTGATTTCTACATTTCTACATTCCCATTCGTACAATAATTCAGGGTAAAAATTCTATTCTAAAATTTTAAAATAGTGTAATACAATTCCCTTTGTACACCTATACTATATATAATAACAAAATCCTGGAATTTTAACTTTCCGCCCAATTCATAACAAATCTCTCATCCCAATAAAATATATTGATTTCTGCTTTCCATTCGTACAATAATTCTGGGTAAAAATTTTATTCTAAAATAGTGTAATACAATTACCTTTGTACATCTATACTATATATAATAACAAAATCATAGAATTTTAACATCCCACCCAATTCCTTAAAAATCTCTCTTCCAAATAAAATATATTGATTTCTACTTTCCCATTCGTACAATAACTCTGGGTAAAAATTCTATTCTAAAATTTTAAAATAGTGTAATACAATTCCATTTGTACATCTATACTATATATAATAACAAAATCCTGGAATTTTAACTTTCCGCTCAATTCCTAACAAACCTCTTTTCCAATAAAATATATTGATTTCTACTTTCCCATTCGTACAATAATTCTGCGTAAAAATTCTATTCTAAAATTTGAATATAGTGTAATACAATTCCCTTTGAACATCTATATCTATATCTATATTATATATAATAACAAAATCTTGAAATTTTTACTTCCCGCCCAATTCCTAACAAATCTCTCTTCCCAATAAAATATATTGATTTGTAGTTTCCATTCGTACAATAATTCTGGGTAAAAATTCTATTCCAAAATAGTGTAATACAATTCCCTTTGTACATCTATACTATATATAATAACAAAATCATAGAATTTTAACATCCCACCCAATTCCTAAAAAATCTCTCTTCCAAATAAAATATATTGATTTCTACTTTCCCATTCGTACAATAATTCTGGGTAAAAATTCTATTCTAAAATTTTAAAATAGTGTAATACAATTCCATTTGTACATCTATACTATATATAAAAACAAAATCCTGGAATTTTAACTTTCCTAACAAACCTCTTTTCCAATAAAATATATTGATTTCTACTTTCCCCTTCGTAAAATAATTCTGTATAAAAATTCTATTCTAAAATTTGAAAATAGTGTAATACAATTCCCTTTGAACATCTATATCTATATCTATATTATATATAATAAAAAAATCCTGAAATTTTAACTTCCCGCCCAATTCCTAACAAATCTCTCTTCCCTATAAAATAGATTGATTTCTACTTTCTCATTCGTACAATAATTCTCGATATAAATTCTATTCTAAAATTTTAAAATAGTGTAATACAATTCACTTTGTAAATCTATACTATATATAATAACAAAATCCTTGAATTTTAAACCAAACAAATCTCTCTTCTCAATAAAATTTATTGATTTCTACTTTCTATTCGTACAATAATTCTGGGTAAAAATTTTATTCTAAAATAGTGTAATACAATTCCCTTTGTACATCTATACTATATATAATAACAAAATCCTGGAATTTTAACTTCACGCCCAATTCCTAAAAAATCTCCCTTCCCAATAAAATATATTGATTTCTACTTTGTCATTCGTACAATAATTCAATGAAAAAAATTCTATTCTAAAATTTTAAAATAGTGTAATACAATTCCCTTTGTACATCTAAACTATATATAATAACAAAATCCTGAAATTTTAACTTCCCGCCCAATTGCTTTCAAATCTCTCTTCCCAATAAAATATATTGATTTATACTTTCCATTCGTACAATAATTCTGGTAAAAATTTTATTCTAAAATAGAGTAATACAATTCCCTTTGTACAACTAAACTATATATAATAACAAAATCATAGAATTTTAACTTCCCGCCCAATTCCTAAAAAATCTTTCTTCCCAATAAAATATGTTTATTTCTACTCTCCCATTCGTACAATAACTCTGGGTAAAAATTCAATTCTCAAATTTTAAAATAGTGTAATACAATTCCCTTTGTACATCTATACTATATAAAATAACAACATCCTGGAATTTTAACTTTCCGCCCAATTCCGAAAAAATCTCTCTTCCCAATAATATATATTGATTTCTACTTTTCCATTCGTACAATAATTTTCGGTAAAAATTCTATTCCAAAATTTTAAAATAGTGTAATACATTTCCATTTGTACATCTATACTATATATAATAACAAAATCCTGGAATTTTAACTTCCTGCCCAATTTCTTACAAATCTCTCTTCCCAATAAAATATATTGATTTCTACTTTCCTTTCGTACAATAATTCTGGGTAAAAAATTTTATTCTAAAATAGTGTAATACAATTCTATTTGTACATCTATACTATATATAATAACAAATTCCTGGAATTTTAACTTCCCACCAATTCCTAAAAAATCTTTCTTCCCTATAAAATATGTTGATTTCTACTTTCCCATTCGTACAATAATTCTGGATAAAAATTCTATTCTAAAATTTTAAAATAGTGTAATACAATTCCCTTTGTACATCTATACTATATATAATAAATAAATCCTGGAATTTTAACTTCCCGCCCAATCTCTAATAAATCTCTCTTCCCAATAAAATATATTGATTTCTACTTTCCTTTCTTACAATAATTCTGGGTAAAAATTTTATTCTAAAATAGTGTAATACAATTCTCTTTGTACAACTATACTATATATAATAACAAAATCCTAGAATTTTAACTTCCCGTCCAATTCCTAAAAAATCTTTCTTCCCAATAAAATATGTTGATTTCTACTTTCCCATTCGTAGAATAATTCTGGGTAAAAATTCTATTCTAAAATTTTAAAATAGTGTAATACAATTCCCTTTGTACATCTATGCTATATATAATAACAAAATCCTGGAATTTTAACTTCCCGCCCAATTCCTAAAAAATCTCTCTTCCCAATAAAATATATTCATTTCTACTTTCCCATTCGTACAATAATTCTGGGTAAAAATTCTATTCTAAAATTTTAAAATAGTGTAATATAATTCCCTTTGTACATCTATACTACATATAATAACAAAATCCTTGAATTTTAACTTTCCGTCCAATTCCTAACAAATCTCTCTTCCCAATAAAATATATTGATTTCTACTTTCCATTCGTACAATAATTCTGGGTAAAAATTTTATTCTAAAATTGTGTAATACAATTCCCTTTGTACATCTATACTATATATCATAACAAAATCCTGGAATTTTAACTTCCCGCCCAATTTCTAAAAAATCTCCCTTTCCAATAAAATCTAGGGAAAATTGTAAAAAATGCTCCTCTATAATATGCCAATTATCAATGTCACCCCTGAATTATGAGTGGTATAAATGTTGCCCCTCAATTATCAAAATGGTGCACATATAGCCCCTCCCGTAACGGACATGTGGTTCCCCACCACTGTCCATCGCTGGTACTTCGAATCGAGGGAGGGAAAAAACAACTAAATTACATATTTACTCCAACTTAACGGTGTCGTACACTAACGGGGAATCACGTGTCCGTTACGGGAGGGGCTATATGTGCACCGTTTTGATAATTGAGGGGCAACTTTTACACCACTCATAATTCATGGATGACATTGATAATTAGCATATTATAGAGGGATATTTTTTACAATTTTCCCTAAAATATATTGATATCTACTTTACCATTCGTACAATAATTCTGCGTAAAAGTTCTATTCTAAAATTTTAAAATAGTGTAATACAATTCTCTTTGTACATCTATACTACTTATAATAACAAAATCCTGAAATTTTAACTTCCCGCCCAATTCCTAACAAATCTCTCCTCCCAATAAAATATATTGATTTATACTTTCCATTCGTACAATAATTCGGGGTAAAAATTTTATTCTAAAATAGTGTAATACAATTCCCTTTGTACATCTATACTATATATAAAAAAAAAAAAAATCCTGGAATTTTAACTTCCCGCCCAATTCCTAAAAATCTTTCTTCCCAATAAAATATGTTGATTTCTACTTTCCCATTCGTACAAAAATTCTGGGTAAAAAATTTTATTCTAAAATTTTAAAATAGTGTAATACAATTCCCTTTGTACATCTATACTATATAAAATAACAATATCGTGGAATTGTAACTTTTCGCCCAATTCCTAAAAAATCTCTCTTCCCAATAAAATATATTGATTTCTACTTTCCCATTCGTACAATAATTATGCTTAAAAACTCTATTCTAAAATTTTAAAATAGTGTAATACAATTCCCTTTGTACATCTATACTATATATAATAACAAAATCCTGGAATTTTAACTTCCCGCCCAATTCCTAAAAAATCTTTCTTCCCAATAAAATATGTTTATTTCTACTTTCCCATTCGTACAATAACTCTGGGTAAAAATTCTATTCTCAAATTTTAAAATAGTGTAATACAATTCCCTTTGTACAT